CCCCAAAACCCCAAAACCCCAAATGAATATTTGTATTTAAAACTGTGAGAAGAAGAAAAATAAATATAATTGTTAAGATTCATAAAATAAATGGCAAGCTCAAACCCATACTACGAAGAATGGAAGCAAGGTGCTACCTATTCCAGATAATTCCAGCAGGTAATATTAGATCTCTGCAATAGTATTTGAATTATTCCCGTTTAGACAATGAAGCAAGATTAGGAATACTAGGACAACTAAAACAAATTCTGGGCTTGCACAGAAGATGATTGGCAAGTCAGACAATAGTAACTGTAGGAGGAGAGAGCCTATGATCCTAAAGCCACAATTAAGAATCAATTCGTTCTTGATAAAAACCAATCTTAAGCTCGTATGTGATTGCAATTTAAAACAATTTTAGCTGTGAATAAGTATATCGCATCATAGGACTATCAAACATCCAACCACGCTTTCCACTAGATGACTGAAAACTCACAGAATAAACTTAGAGAGACTTAAGGCTTCACAAATCCAGTGATTGAAGGACTTCAGTAATCAATAAATTAAGTAATTGCTTATCTTTAGGCCTGAGGTATTTGAGGTATCAGCAAAGCGTAATGCCCCCATTTGGAAGACTGATCAATACAAGGACCCAGACTTCAGAGAAAACCTCAATGCAACTACTAACAGGAATGTGCAAAACTACGATGCTGAGATTGCTCAGAAGATGAGAGTTACCAAGCATAACATCAAAGTCACCAATATCTCTGAATATTCTAATGCTCTTAACAGAGGCAGTGTCTTTATTAACCCTAAGTTTGGTAGTTGCTGAAGAATGTCTGATTCTCTCGATATCTAATTCTCTAGACCGATATCGCTAGCATTATCTATTAAGTTTAAGACTATTTATAAAAATTAAACTTAACTTGAAACTATATATTAATCAAAATATAATTAATTCAGGTAACTTTAAATTTAAATTTGAATTTGTAATGGCTAAAAACAGAGGTTGCAGCTGTTGGCCCTTCTCTAGAACTAAAACTCAAACTACTACTCAGAGTCAATTGCCACGCATTAAGAATGAATAAATACAGAAAGGCATTTAGAGACCTGACTTGAATTTCAACCCCAGTTTTACAAATCACAGCAATACCAACTTCTTAGTCATTCAGAGAAGCTAAGTAAGTTAAAGTGAAGCATTAAATTAACCGAGTCGATCCCGTACTACTGAAAATTAGTTGAGATCTGATAGTCAACTCTTGGTTAACCCTCTTATACCTAACATGGTTCCATTTATTGCTTAAAGCAGTGTCTTTGAAGAAGTAAGAAATCGAAACAAGGTGCGCATCAAGACAACAATTTAGAAAAGTCAAGTTAAGTACAAAGATGAATACCCTACTCTAATAGAGGAATAAAAAATCTATAAATACTGTTGCCCCATTTGCCTTCGCTATTTTAACACTATCCTTGTGTCAACTTGCTGTCAAAACTATCTTTGCAGAATGTGCATCGGCGATATGGCCAAAAAAGCAAAGAAGGATATAAACTTTATAATTAGATGTCCACACTGCTTTGAGAATGATTTTAAGCTTCATGATGTAAATCAAGAAGAAAAAGTTAAATTTTATACTGATACCCCTTTCAAATTTACTAAAACATAAAAAGAAGAACTTGAGAATAGCATCCAAAAGATCAATAATAGCTCAGAGGACAAGCATTAACATCTTTAAAATAGCTCACAAATAGTATCCCCTTCCTTTTAAGTTCATATCACTGATATCTCCTATAAAAAAGAATAAAGACATAATGACATCTTTAGCTTAAATCCTGTGCTCATAAATAGACAGGAGAGTGTTAATTTACTCCCACCTATCGGTGACAATGAATAACCCATATACGAAAGTCCTTATCCTAAGCTTAACAATCTGGATGAAGATAATAATTAACTTTTTGAGGAAAATCTAGCATTCATTAGCCCAGAGGAGGAGAGGAAATCTCAATTTGAAGTATAAAATAATGTTTTCTTGAGTTAAAGGAACATTTTATAAGGGAGTATTATAAATTCGATCCATTCAAATAGGCCTGTGTACAGCTCTCTCATCGACTAGGTTTAGAATCATAATCAAAACAGCTATCGATTTTTTAAAAGTGAAAGAAATTAGCACTGTGTTCCGCTTCATCCAATTGATAACATCGCTAATCGATAATCGATGAGATTCGTCTAGGTTAGAGATTCTTTGAATAGAATCAAATTGGCGAATAATTCAATTCATAGAGAGAGTTAAATAGGCTTAAATTAATCCTTAATAAGCAAAAGTTTAAACTTTTAGCATTTAGACCTGATCGATGCAGATCAAAAAGCAGAGAGAACAGGCAAAGGTAGCTCGTAGTTTAGATTAAGGTCTAATAACAGATAGCTTAGTTCATCTAATCACTCGAATAAATCTGAAGAGGTGAAATCTACTATACACAAGCAAGTGAATGCTATCAATATGTTTAAAAATGAGAACTTCTTCGAAAATATTCCTCTCTCTTTTAGATAAAGTCAGACTGAGATGATAAACAAAGAAGGATTTGTATCAATAAAGGAACTTATAGCATAGAGGAACGCTCAATCTGATAAAAAGGTAGTAAGAAGGATTAGTGATCATATAGAAAGAAGTGGGGTGAATAGGAATTCATAAATTCATCAATCATAATAATTACTCATGTCTCCCAGTCTGAAATTTAAGGATTTGGATGACGAAAGAAATATAGATGTATCACTTAGAGGCCGATTGTAAATAGATCAAAGAAAGTCCTAGTGAATCTTAAAAATATTAATATAATGGCAATAAATTTTGGTAGAGGTATTAGAGCAGTTGCTATTTGAATATTATATTAGTTCTTATTAAATTGAGATTATAAGTAAATTGAGTTAACATAATTTTGCATTTTAAGTATATGATTAAGATAGTTATGCATTAATGACAATCTATATTGATAGGATAATTCACTTCTTTTTCTCATCATCGCTATCATCTGAGACCTAATACTTTGGATCAACTTCCTTAAGCACATTTTTCTCCCATTTTTTTAAATTCTGCACAGCTGATAGTTCCTCATTTAGTGCTTCTTCTTTAACTGCATCAGCCCACAATTTTCTATTAGGATTTAAAGGTCCTTTGCCCAATTCTAATCCTGCATAAAAATCAATTGCTTTTGCATTCCCACTTGTCTTTATTTTCTTTTAGTGTCTAAAATAATTGTAATTAAACTCTGATTTAAATAAATTATAATTACGTTGAACCAACAATGAGTCCTCCATCTTTGTAGAAGTGAGGCATGTATTCTGGAACCTTGTATATTTTATCTCCGAGACTCTTGAGAGGAACACCATTCCTTTGATCATATAAAGTCTCTATTCTCTTTTTAGTTCCCATCATTTTTTCCGTTGCCACTTCATCAACTGTTTTTCGATTGTGATGAATAAAAGTTTTTCTTCCAATCTCAAGATCTTCTAGAGATCCACTTGGGTTAGGCTCTACGTGCCTTCTTTCAGCTCTATCTTTTACATTGGCATATTCAGGCTCAATTTTCTTGGTTCCCTTGGGTCTAGATTTATAGTTTCAGCAATAATGAATACATACCTATCATGGCGTTCATGATCTTTATCAGGGTCAACTCTTATAGTAGGTTTCCATTGATAAGAATCAGACAATTATGGGTCGTAGTGTTTTTTGCCGAAGGTCGAATACAAGGGATGCGGCACTTCTTTAAATTAAGGTTATGGTACATGCTTTCTGTTAGTTGTGAATTTCTACGAGACACCGCCAGACCAGTCAGCAATCTAGGCAGCTCCTGTTTATTGTAAAACGGCTGATGAACCTACGAAATAATCTGTCATTTAAATTAATTATATTTGTTTTATAATAATTATCTTAATTTAAGATGCAGCCCAATTTTAGAGATCTATAGCAATAACTCTTAGGAGGTAACCTCATCTTTAAAGATATTTTTAGGAGTAAACTAATAATTTGGGGCTTTCGGAGCATCAAATAACAATAGAAACTATTAAATGCCCAACAACTAAGTAGATCAACTGATTGATGATGTGCAAGGCTCAGTTAGAGGAAAAACTCATCTTATTCAATTATATACTACAGACCCTGACGAAGGCCCAAGATTGATATCAGACTTTCATCCTTAGGGTATCCCAATCGTTGTTGTTGTTGACCCACCCTCCTGCTGCTATTATAAACTAAATATTCCTCACGGTATAGTATCGCTAGAGTAGGTTTGGGGCAAGCACACAGGCTAAATGAGCCCTGGTTATCACTGTTGTTATTGTTCACATAAAAGGATTGCTGCAATGATTACTAAGAATGCTGTCTAATTTAATACGCCTGTAATTATCATAAATATATATATCATTACTATTTATAGATTGAAGCTTGTCCAACAAAAGATAATGTTAGAGTCTCAGTTGATATAGGTATTACATTCCACATTGGCAAAGAAGAAACCAGAGCTAAAGATTGTGAATAATTCTTATATTATCTAGGGGCAAACAAACTTTAAGAATTGCTTGAGTAAGAATCTGAGGAGAGCATCAGAAATTTCATTCGTACCTAGAAAGTAAATAGGATCAGAGACATAAAGTCAGAGCTGACATCTCAAATGATGGCTGAACTGAATAATAGATTTAACTAATACGGTGTCTATGTTGAGCAAGTCAACGTCATGAATGTCATTATCCCCAAAGATCTGAGAATAGCTCTTTAGCAAGCAACAGCATATGATGTGTTCCTCTAAAACTAAGTTAGATTCTAAGAGAACGTCAAACTTAGATTGATGAATGAAGAGAACAAGAAAATTCAGACATTAAAGAGAGAGAACTAGAAGAAGATGCTAGAATTAAACAACCATTTTATAATGGAGGAGATCAGCTTGTAGAAATTTAAAGTAAACACCGAAACAGATCAGTAGATCAGAATCATTCAAGCAACCTAAAATTAGGAGATCAAGATGATTTAGGCTTAGGTGATGAAAAATCTGGCTGAACAAAGAGCAAAGAAGTAGGCTGAGTAAATCCTAGCTGAGGCCAAGGCTTACAAGGCGGGGAAAATGATTGAGGTTGAAGCAAGAAAGTTGAATTTGATTGAGTCTGCTAAAGCAAGACTTGAATCAGCTCAGCAAAGGCTCAAGGGTTAGTTGCAAGAGGCAGATGCTGAAAATGATAATTAGAATAATCTTCAAATGAAGAGAAAGCATGAACAAAGAATGAAGAAGACTGATAACCTAAGAAAGCTTATGAAAGATAAGAGCATTGTCATTGGAGGATAGACTGGTGAAAACTTACTAGACTACTTTAAAGAGACTGGTGAAATGGTTGATGACTATGATAATTGATGCATTAGCTGAAACAGCAGCAGCCTACACATCCTAAAATATCATGCTTCACATTAACTTATTAATCAATTATTATTAAAGGTTAATATAATTAGAAGCGTTTAATTTATATACATTTATTTCATATTATGGATAGACAGTTATAGCGTTAGTCATCGATGGACTCAAACAAAGAGAAGCGTCAAAACATCAAGTCGAGTCTCGAGCAATAGCATCAACTGAATAAGCAAAAGTTTTAAGATCCCTTTTTCATCTAAATTGGAGAAGCAGGAACTGAAACTAGCAACTTGAAAATTGTCAAGCAAAAAAAGAAAGTTGATGATAATGAGACAGAGACAAGGCCTGGTTCACAAGGAATGAATTAAAGAAGGTTGCTTGATTCATCACAAAGAATGAACAGTAGCGCTAATTAGAGAACTTCATCAATAACTTTAAGGAAAGGCCCAGGCTAAGTCGTTCAAGAAGCGAAAGAGGAAGACGAGTAAAGTCCTAAAAAAGGTGGAAGAGCTGCAAGTCCTACGAGAAATAATTATAGCAGAACTACTTCTCTCCCTAAAGGATAGAAGAAGGATGGGAATGGAACCATTTCAGAATCAGAAAACTTTGAAAAGATTTCTGATGATGCTAGTACTATCAAAACTTTGCCTTAATTGGTTAAACTTGACATTAACCTTGATACTTTGAAGAACTTTTTAGAAGACATTCAAGAAGCCATAAATGATCATGCCAAGTAGTTAGGTGTGGTTCAAAGTGACATGAAGAAGAAAGCCAATGAGAAAACAATTAGTCACTACTTCTTAAAAATTAGTGAGGGACTACACAAAGAATGCGGTGAGCGCCCACATGCCTTTAGACTGGAGCACGAATCTTAGAATTTCCTCTCAGACAATTTTCAAACAGAAGATTCAGTATTACTGAAACGCTAGTCTGAGAAGTTACAAGAGAAACTTGAGATCATAGGCTTAAACATCATTAATATGAATAAATATAAGACTCTCACTGATGATAGACTAGAAAGACTTGAGAGAATCATCCCTAAATGCTTCACCATTGATTAATTTAGAGAAGAGAGCTAATAATAAGAATAAAGAACCTTAACTTACATTAATAACTAGCTTGGGACATTTCAAGAAAACTTGAATGGATATAAAAAGGAATTAAATGAAGCTTTAACTTTCTTTGAGAAGAAAGTAAATGATAATCAATCTGAAACTCTATGGCGAATCAAGGACTGCGAAGAATTATTGAAGTCAAGGGTTAGTGATAAGTTTGTCATTGATGCTATAAAATCTATTGAGGATAAATTAAGCAAGACAATGGCATACAACGATGAGAAGCAAATTGAAAGGCTTGAAAAATCTTTCAAGGAGCTTGGAATTAGAGTGGTATAGACTAATCAGTTCTTTTAGGAAAAATTTGATGATCTTAGGAAGATTATATCGATATATGATAATAAGATCTAAAACTTAGCTACTAATGACAAGTTAATCAGTGTTCAGACTGGCTATAGAGATATGAAGTATAACTTTGAGAGAGAAATGGAAATGCTTTAGGAGCATGTCAAGGAGACAAAAGATAAGATTGGAGAGCTAAATAAGAGATTTTCTAATTTAGAATTAGCCACTATGTCACTAGCTAATGGAGGAGATTTTACTTATCATACTGCTAATAATAACAATCAAAACTAAAGTAATTAGGGCACGAGTAGAAATCAATTCTAAACTTAAAGCAACAGTGATAAGCTCAAGTAAAATCAATAAAACAATAACATTCACAACAATAATAATAGAAATAAAAGTCCAAATGCTAAAGAAAAAATTGATCCAAGTCAATTCTAGGCTAGTTCTCCAACTGCTTAAAACTTCTCACCTATTGCAAGAAAACGTTAAGGAAGAGCAGCTGATGCTGCCTTTGCTGCTGAAATTGATAAGAGATTCTAAATTTATGAACAGTAAATGGATAGTGTTGAGATGAAATTCGACAGTCTTAAAAGGTAAATGGACGATAAAGTGTCGAGAGATGATGTTAGAAAGCTTACTTCTGATAAGATTTCTAAAGAAGATCTAGACAATATTATACCTAATGAAGAAATCACCTAAGAGAAGATGAAGTACTTGGTGAGAGAAGAAATAGAAATGCTATGGGGTAAACTTAATGAGCAGTTTAAGCAAGTTGATAATAAGATGATAAGGCTAAGGGCTGAAATAGATATTCATTCTATATAGAGATAATTAGAAAGAAAGGCAAATGAAGATCAAGTTCGATCTGATTTCAATAATCATGAATTCAAGATTGGAACATTAGATAGGAATATTATAAGAATGGCTAGTGATTTCGAAACTTTCTAGCTTGCAATAACTAAAATTCATGGTGCTATAGTTGAGCTGTAAGAAGCTAACAGAGATGTTTTACTTGGTAAAAAAACTAATAACTGCTTAAGCTGCGGTAAGGGAGGAGATACTGGTTAAACAGTCAAGGGTAAGGACGGAAGAATATATAAGGCTTCAGAAAATCAATAGGCAAAGCTTCATTAAGATGATTCAGTCTTGATTGGAGGCCAATATCAGAACTATGATTAATAAAATCCAACTGCTGGATAGTAGCTTTAAATGAACTAGTCAGGATATGACTTGAATGCCAATCAATAAGAATTCTTTAAAATGAGAGCTTCAAATAGCTTCTATGATTCAGGCTTGGGTGTTTATGATAATTAATCCATAAATGCTTAAAACTTGCCTTAATTACACAATAAAAAGAGCAGCATTCATGCAAATAATGCAATTATCAAAAGTATAGCTTAAAACTCAGGGCTAAATATATCAGGCACTGGTAATGCTAATAGCAATACCTCACTTGCTTAGAATAATAACAATTCTTCTTTCTAATAATCTAGAAAGAAGCTTCCTTTTGGGTTTTAAGTCCAATAGGAAAAGAAAGAACTATTAAAAATCCAACCTAGAGGAAAGTCTAGTTAGAACATGAAAAGAGCCTAGTCAAATAGAATGCATGAAGGGTAAAGACCTGACTCAGCTCATGTTCGAGATGGAAACTATAATTTTAATAGTACTTTTGAATAATGATGAAAGCTAAAGTAAATATATTTTACTATTAATACTTTTTAATGAATGTTCAAAATAAATATTACAATTTGGGGTTTTGGGGTTTTGGGGTAACGATTAGCTTAAA